TTTTCGGCCTTAAAATGGCCGCTATTCGGCTATCGTTAATCGGATCATGAAAAAAATGCATGTGCATATGTCCCATATAAGGTGTGATGTATGAGTGAAGTTTGAACATAATCGGTCCATGCATGTTCGAGATACAGGTGATCACGGACGCACGGACGCACGGACGCACACAGGGCAAAACATAAGTCCCCGTTTTCGGACTCCGTCCGAACGGGGACTAACAAGTCTCAGAGTTATTGGGGCAGCAAGTTGGTATTTAAACTAGCTTGTGAATTTGCTGGTAGTTTGGAATGTGAATTATTCTAGAATTGACAGTGTTAGTTGATTGCAATGCATCGAGTCTGGGATTCACCTTATCAAGGGTGATTTGAAACATTGCACTATCATCAACATCAAGCTGGGTGACCATAATTAATTTAAATTTCACGTAAATTTGAAAAATATATAAAATCCAACTATTTGTTTAAATCTGGCAATGTGAAGGCATTGTCTGTCCCCTGCTGCAATATAGATTCGTCTAGAGTAGGAGTGACCACCACTCGGTGTCATCGAGTTTGAAAAGCCAAACATGAGGGATTTATAGTTGATAATATTTGCTAATCGTTGTTCTAAGTGACTATTCAAAATAGCTTGACGCTTCGAGCCATATCGATAGCATAGAAGAAAATGTTTAAATGTATAGTTGGAACGTAAGGACAACAACTATGAAATGGAATCACAGATTCCACAATAGAACATACATGTATATATGTGCACTAGGTAGTAAAAGTACAGGGAATATTATCTGTTATATATCATATTTATCGGTCCGAGCATGCATGCTCATTAGCTCATTCATTCATTTATTTACAACCATGAGGGATATCACTACGGACAGCAATGTGTTGAAAATGAAATAGAACACCTACTTTTCTGCTGAGACAGCATTGTCTCTTTCTTTGGTCAATTTCTTCTCTTTCTCGTCATAATTTTCTTTGACTTTTTTGACCTGCGCTTCCAATGTACCAATCAATTCAGCTCGATCTTTCCATTTCTTGTCCAGTGTTCTATATAACATAAAAAAATAATTCATGTTTAATCTTTCAAGATCTTGAAAAAACGAACCGAATGCTGTCACTGGGTTTCGCGCACTGCATCATGAGAAGGTTTTTGCCTCAAACTTTTAAGAATGTAATTTCCACTGAATTTCATCGCTGTTACCTTACCCAAGCATTTTATAATGTGTAGCATAAAATGCATCAGCTGTGGAAATGCCTCCAAGGCTGTATGGTATTAAGAAACTGAGGATTAACTATCACCAGTTCCACTTGAATAATTACTTATCAAGGTCAAGGTGTTCAATGACACTTAACACTTGTTATCACATAGCTGATCCACTGCACCAAAATGAATACAACCAGTACGTGACTTACTGATGAGCTTTTCTACTCTCATCCAATTCAATCTGTGTATCTGCCAGCTGTTGTTTTAATCCTTCTTTTCTTTCTGTTAGTCTTTCCACACTATCCTGGAGATCCTGGTTGGTTATCTTCTCCTCAGACAGCTGCTCCTCCAAAGACTTCTGCATTTTTATAGAGTCGTCCCTCGCTTCTTTGATCTCTGCATCCCTTTCAATAAGACCCTGTTAATAACACGACAAGATTATCCTTTGTAGTGCAACTAGCAGTACTAGTAATACTAAACACTGTCTTCTTACAGTGTAGATTCTCCTAGTTCAGTTGCCATAATGAATATGAGAAAGGGTCTACTTTTAAAGAAAAGATTTTGAGTGGAAACAATATTAGTAATTACCTCTTTTAACTTTTTAATAGTTTCAGTCTGATCTTCTATCATTTTGCATTTAATTCTCAGCGCGTCTTGATCTCTTTCTTGTTGTTTCTTGAGAGACGACACCTCAGCAGCGAGAGCATCGACTCTGGCATCAAGACGACCTCTGTCCTGAGCTAGCGATGCACCTGGAATGCATACAATAGTTGGGAGTACAGTGTGCTTGATATGAATTATTCAGTGCGGTATGATATTGTTGTCACAAAGCAGAAAAAGATCATAAACACTGGTGATCACACCTTGTGACGCCAAGTCACAGCGGATACATCGCAATACATTCCTGGACTTGGATTCACTGAGAGCTTATCGGTATGAAATTTGGGTAGACTAAAAGCAGTACCTCATCAGGGTTATTTAAATGCCACTTTTAGAATGTAATGATACCAGTGTATTAAACTACTTTTCTTTGAAGTAAAATAAAAAGATGTATCAAATTCACAAAGACACAGAGCAAGTGTGAGTGAATTACGGATTAAAGGAAACACATTATGACACACAATAGAAAGATATCTCCAAGTAACAACTGAGCATGTCAGGCGTACTTTCTCCAAAGTATCGAGTGTATGCATACTTTCCTCATGTGACATCTGAGCAAGAAGCAGCTGCTACATTATGTATGGCACTCAGATGTCATTTCACAAATAGTATAAGCATAGGCTCAGTTTGTACAAGACATATTAAAGTTATCTGATTTATGTGTTGACAGTCATTGTGATGAGTTGATAGCTTTGAATTCAAACACTGGTTAAAACTTAGAGATAAATAAATCTACAATTCAGTCAGAATCATTCACATAAAGCAGGATTTGTAGTGAGGGAAATCATTATGTCTTTGTCTAACCTTGTTGTGCCAATTCTTGACTCCATAGTCTTTTCTCAACTCTTAGTCCTTCAATGAGTGATTCCTGTGCTGTGATCTGTGCTTGTAACTTAGTCTTTTCTTGTTTCAACATTTCCATCTGTACCATTCGTCTCCTAGCTTCATCTAAATGAGCTTCAACTGTCTGCAGGCGTTCCTGGCAACAGGGAAAAAAAACAACTTCAGTTTATTCCCTCCTGAGAATTTTTAAATTATGCAGATAGAGGGCAGAATCTAGGTAACATGCCGGAATAGGCTGAATAAATTAACTGACCTCAAAATATTGAAGTGTCACACCAGCTTATCGGTAGTTTCAATCTCAGAGTTATGACACTGATACAGAAATGAAGTACTGTATTTACTGAAAGTGCACAATAGCCCCAAATCATATTTATTGTACGGTATGCTGAATCATCAAAAAACGATTTTGACTATTGACACAAGTCTGTCATTTATGTAAGTACAGCACTACTACAGCAAATACACTATGAAATGCATTGAACATAAAAAAAAAAAATGATCAAACTGTCACACAATTGTATCATTTTTAGGGAATACTATTATAGTTCAGATACCTTGGCTTCAGCAAGTGCTTCTTGCTTTGATCGAGACAATTCTGATAATCGTCCCTTCTGTTCCTTTACCATCTGTAAAAAGAAAACAAACTATTGGTCCTTTGTTGAATATCATTCTTACTTACACAAACATAAACATGCAGTAAAGGTTTTGTGAAAACATACACGTATACTGACTGAAGAAATTGGGTTCAGTGAAGAAAGGAAAGCCAACCTGATTCTTGTAGCTTTGCTTGTCAACTCACATTTGTTCTGTATGCTAAGCTTAAGTTAAATACTATTAAAAATATACTCCACAATATCTTTATTTCTCTCACATCCTTCTCAATAATCACATTACTCTACTTCCTATCCTCCTCATAATTCCTCTCTGAATCACTCTTCATCTTCCATCCCTAATTCCATCTTGCTTGTCAAGCTCTCATTCACAGGGTTTCTGACTTCTCTCAAATTTGTACATTGCCTTGGCTCCATGTTTCTTTGATAGACACCTATATTTTGTAGTGAGCTGCACATTTGGCTCTCAAACAGCGACCCTTAACCCCAGCGAGGTATGACGTATGTAGCAATTATTATTATTTGATATGACTAATTTTTTCTTATACATGTACGTGGGTCATTCAGCTTGTCTATTTCTCATTATTAATTGTTAATGTTCATTGTGCCAAAAAAGAATTTAATAATTTTTCAAAATTTTTGATCGAGATCAAATATGAATTCATGTGTATTTGGTCGAAAATATAATATATAAAACGACATAAATAATGTAAAACTCTGCAAAGTTTCTGTATGAATACAGAATATATGTAGTGATTGTTGTTTTATAAAACAAAATCTGGGAAATGAAAGTTTAGGTTAAACAGCTCGATAGATGTTCAGCAACAATATATAGCAAATTTGATCAAATTTGAAAAATTTTGCTTACACAGGCTGAAATGAGGAATATGCAAATTAGCTATTTAATATGCACACACAGTAGCTAAAAATAAGTAAAATGTGTATGGAAAGGTCGGATGAAGAATATGCAAATTAGCTATTTAATATGCACACACAGTAGCTAAAAATAAGTAAAATGTGTATGGACAGGCCGAATGAGGAATTCTTGCAAGACTATGTCAAAAGACACTTACTGATGTCAGCTCAGTCACCAATGCGGAACATTTCTGTTCTTTGTCGTGTAGTGTCACCATGGCTTGTTTGTGCTGAGCTGATTCTTCAGAGACTTTCTCAAACGCTTCTTGAACCTAAGAGAAGTAAGACATTTGGTAAAAAACACTGACAGCATGGAATATATTAACCTAAGAACTATGACAACAAATGAGTAGTCACCTTTTACAGTGACAAATGTGTCTTGAATGCACCATCAAAAATAACCAATTTGTTTAATTTTTTTTCAATTATAAATAAAAATTAGAGAGAAAAATGGCCGCTAGGAACTTACTGGAACACAAGAGCTACAAAACTTGTTTTTCGTTCCTCAAATAATGTCAAAAATTTCTCTCTTGTCATCACGGCCACAGTCACGTGACTCGTGTGTCTAATGCAATTTTTTAAAGCATGTATCAGTATCAAATAGTCTGTACAAAATGGCTGTCAGAGTGAATCTCAACTTTCTTCACCTTTCACAGAATAAAAGCCAGACAATTTTGTACAAATTTTTTAAAAAAATATTATGTCTATTTGTTTGAAAATGAACTGATAGAAAAGTATATAAAAATATATGAAATATTGAACTAAAATATTGGTGTGAAAAATTAGGAACTCCAAAGTGTTAAATGGAAATCATCATAAAACATCTCCTTTCATCAGAACCTAAAAGTAAAATAGACAATACTAACTTCTTTAAATCTGTTGGCCTCAATCTGTAAAGCCAATCTGAATTCATCTTCCAAGTCTGCGTATTGATGAGTTAATACATCAACCCTGCACAAAGAAAACATATAAAGTCATTAGTCCATGCATGCCGCTTTTTTCCACTTTTTGGTTTGTAGATTACATCAGGTGAACACCATTTCCATTGTTTTTAGGTTTCCATGGAAACGGTGAGATGTGTTAAATTACACAATGAACTTAATATTGAAGTCTGGACTTAAAAATAATCTAACAAAAAGTACTGTGCTTGTAAATCTTTTGATTCAGGAAAAACAGAATGATCAAATAATCGTAATATTACCAATAAATCACTGTGCATTATCAAGATTTTAATACAACGCATCTATACATTATGTACTTGTAGCCAGTATTAGAAGCATTTGGGCAACAAGTTAGCAAACCAATCCTAGCAAGTTTCACATAAAAACTCACTAATTAATGAAGCAGATGGCCTACCAGACTTGTCCGTATCTATAAGTGGCCACACCCACTCTGAACCAATCCATATTGCAACAGATGATGCAATGCCACTCGACCCTGATGAACCTTAGAGACTATAATATATTACACAAACAGTTTTGTACATTTTCATTATGTCACACTCATCTGTTGAGTAAAACCTTATAAACTTGTAAGCAATATTGTTTACAGATTGATTGGTAGTGGCAGAAAGAAGGCCCATGTCTCATCGCTGTATCTTTTTCAATAGTCAAAGTCAAGGCCATCTGCTTTATTGAGCAAATTAATGAGCACATTTGCAAACTTGCTACTCTAATACCGCCAAGACTTGAAATGAAAAATAAACCAGACTAATTTTTCTAGAACTGTAAAAAAACTGCAATTAGCTGACATGTAAAAATTGAAAACAGGACTAACAAAAATTTGGGTTCATTGCTTTTAAAAACTACCTTTGAGGTAATTCTTATTGTAAATATTAATGGATGAATCTGATTCTTTTTTCAAACAAAGAAGATTTTTAAGTCAGTTTCAGCTTGTTTGGATTTAGCTAAAATTGGAAAACAAAAGAAATTTGATTTCACAAAATAGAGGGCAGTGTAGAATCTTTAAATTGTAAATATATAAACTAATAATGCAATTTTGACGAAGTTATAGAACTTAAAGCGGGGGAGTTGTCACCTGCACATGCGTCAGGTGGCCATGGCGTGTCATTGTTTACAAACAAGCGTCTACCCATGAGCCTTTGCATTTTTAGCATGTGTTGTTATCGTCACCTGGGACTCAATACCAGTGTGTACGCAGGTGACGACCCTTCCGCTTTTAAATCTCACTCAAGTGAAAAAAAATTACATTGTTATTGTTTGCTAAATTATTCGTTATTAAATTAGCTAGAATAGTATACTAGCTAAAACGTTTTGCAGCACACAAGTATACACAACAGAATAGACATGTTCTCACTTTTCTTTGTACAGCCTGACATCCAACTCATGCTTCTCTCGCTCTGAATTAACAGCTTTAGTGAGGACATCTTGAAGTTCTCTACTTTCCAGACTGTATTTATTTTTCATATTGTGTCTGCAAAAAAACAAAATTTCATGAGATTCCAGTGAATGACAGTAGTGCTGTGGTTGTTAAAGTTAAAATTCTACCTGAGGTGAAACACCAAGAGTTGACCTCTACCCAGGGTGAATTACCACAGACTAAACAGAAGGACCAAATCCACTGGCTGAGATTTGATCACTAATTGATTTGGCTTTAGGAAAAACTAATGTCCACAAGTGCTAGATTGACTGAAGCTGATTGACAGAGTGATAGTTCACTGAATGCAATTATGCTATTATGATGGGAACCTGGTTATGCAGTCCTACACACAACAGATTGTTGAGTGATAGTACTGAGCTGACAGTACCTGTGATCCTGTTCTCTCGACGCTAACAGTTCTTGCAGTTGTTGTATTTTGCCTTCATGTTTTTTCACCATGTTTCGAAGTAAATCTACTTCTCGACTGGCGGCAACAGCTTTCATCTGGTAGTCCTGTGTTTTCTTTCGCTAATTTATAAATGAACAGATAAGTTAAATAACTTGGCATAAAATGTAAGTTGTGGAATGTATAAGAGAACTTATTTACTTAAACTAAAAAAACCCGAGAAACCTGAAAAAGTTAATTTTCAAATATTTCTTGGAAGACCTTGTTGATTATGATATTCTAGTACTTGTATTTGGCCATTCATCATCAATACATCTATTGCAACGATGACTGGAGAATTACTACACAACCTCATAGATACAGGTAGACTTTGATATATAATTAATACTGTGTAATAATTTGTCTTATGCAGTCTGGTAAATTACTACATAGATGGATTTTGATACAAATTTGGATTTTGGAATACCATATACAAGTATGCTTACCTCATGTGCTAACTGTTCTATTTTCTCACTTTCTATCTTAGTTGCCGTGGTTTCCATGGCTCTCAGTGCCTTTCTCTGCGACTCTTCCGAATCTTGAGAGGATTCAAGTTTTTCGGTCAATTTACTGACACGTTCCTGATACAAATAAGCAATCACATGAAATCATTATTAACTAAAGCAGTACATGTATGAACAATATCCAAGGTATTCTGTGGGTGGCTATGTAAGCTATAAAAGCTTAAAAGACAATGTTGGCATATTTATGTATTTAGTTTTGTCAATTCTTGGAATACTCACCTCTAATTCAGAAACAAGTTTCTCAAGTCTATTTTTCTCTTCTCTTTCTCTCACAAGTGCCTGTTTCAGCCTTGTTGATGTCTCAATAGCCACGTCTTGTACTTCTCTTTGCTCACTACCTGTATTAATGACGATTACATAATAAATATTCTGGGTCATTCCAGTTGAATGTAATAAGCTAGGAATAATATCAAGTTTTTTTTTATATTTTCCTCTTTGAGGAATGCACCTAGGCTGGCAGGGAGAGATAATACATGCAGTGAAATCTTAAATAGGAACTACTCAGTAAAAGAAGGAACCCATTTACCCTACCCCAGTATTAAATATTATCCCTGCATAATGTGAAACAAGAGTCACGTGTAAATGCCACGCATAGAAAAGTATTATAAAAACATTGTTGTAGTTCAGTGTTATTATTTTGTGCACACAACTCCCACTCCCACCCCTCAACAAGTAACTGACTAATGGCTGGGTGTAATTATTGCTGTAAACTGCTTTTAATGTCACAAGCGAAAAATTATGAATAACCGCCAAATTATGTAGCTACATTTTACATCTCAGTAGGATCTTTATTAGGACAGCGAACCACAGTGACCTATCATGAATTGCGTCCCTACAAAGGACGTTGAATTACCACATCACGAAAATACATGTAGTTAACAACGAATAGGACAGTAAATTCTTGAAGACTTGCCTTTTGACTGGATTTCTTTAATATGATCCACTAACTTTCTGGCAGCTTGCTCGGCTTTCCATCTTCTTTCACGCTCATTATCCAGCTCCTGCATCAAACACTAGAAAACAGTAGGAATAGTTTGACAATCTGTTCTTTGCAACACAATGCACTATTCCTTGATAAATACTACAAAGATTATTATGTTACCTCAATATAAGTGTAAGACTTAGATTTTTAGATTTGAAATAGCTCCACTGTTTTTATAAAGTGTCTTTCTCAAAACAAAATTGATAAATGTTCTGTAAGATGAGACATAGACCATTTGCCATGGTTATTAGTGTTCCCACCATGTTATTGCCATATCACAACCACAATAGTTTCTTTGATTGTTGCCATGGCAATTACAATTGTTATCATCTTGTTACAATGTATCAAAGCAATTGAGATAGTAGTTTTCAAGAGGAAGTCGAAAGAAGAATTGTTGACGAACGAACAGCTCCACACTGTCATTTTCAATGACTCTGAGTAATTTATCATATTATGTAATACGTAATGACGACTATCGTAAAATACATTATTAGTCGTACTATCTTTCATGTGTCAAGACATTTTTGATGGAATAGACTGCCTTTCCATTTTGGGTTTTAGATGACCTATATATATATATAGTATATGCGGATAAATAAATCTATCTTATAAATATTCACCAGTTTGTCTTCATCATCTTGTACAGTTGTTGGTCTTCTTGTTTGTTGTTCACCAGCACTGGGAGGGGAACTGGACACTTGTGTTGAGTTAGAGCTGCAAAAAACAACAGTATGAATATAAGAAACATGATTTGTAAATGAACTACACCAGACATCCAGTACATTTCCTAATTGTTTCATTACCAGACAATAATAGCACAAAGCAGGCATGTCTTGAAAAAAGGTAATCCAATGGTTTTCTTCGTTACAAAAATTGATAAACAATATTGATTTCTCACTAGAATGATTTATTAAGAACAAATATAAAGTTGTCATCAGGGCTCACATCTGAGGGGGAACAACCACAAAATATAAAAAATATAAGTTATCAAACAAAATTACATATTATCAAATTTCTGGAGAAGAAATGTACCGGTAACTGAATAAACAAGTGACAAACTCAAAAATTTTGAAAAATACTTCCATGTGTTGAATTTAAAACAAAAAATTTCAATGACAAAATTGAGAACTAGTAATCACAAATAGATAGAAAAAGGGAGGCATACAGTGATATTTAA